CCACATGGCCATTTTTTACTTATGATCAACATACAATGAGGGGTTTGTGGGCCCCTTGTCTTTCCATCTCTTCATTTTTTATTCCTGTTCTAATGGTAGATCTGGCTGGGCCCAGCACAACCCGACATCCATCAGAGAGGCTCTCAGCTCTTCAGTTTTTCCAACGATTCTCAGAACTACCCAAGAACTTTTAATAAATTTCTCCATGGCTTATACATTTTAAACAACTGCTCAAAACTACTTGCATCAGTTTCCTTGGATTGCTGGGTGCCTTAAAACAACCAGATCGATTCTCTCACAGTTTTGGAGGCCAGGAGTCTGAGATCAAGGTGTCAGTTAGCCACAGTGGGTTCCTTCTTGGAGACTCAGAGGGAGAAGCTGTTCCACGCTCTCTCTTAGTCTCCTGTGATTGCTGGCAATCCTTGGTGTTCCATGGTGTGTGACAGCATCACTCCAATCTCTGCTTCTGTCAACACATGGCCTTCTCCCATGTGTCTGTGTCCAAATTTCCCTCTTTTCACTGCATTAGGGCCCACCCTAATCCAACTTGACCTCGCCTTAACTTGATTATATCTGCAAAGACCCTATTTCCAAATAAGGTCACATTCACAGATTGGGGACAGTGGGGGGACTCAGTACACTACTCAGGAATCCACCTTTGGGGCTGCATCCCTCTGAACCTCCTCGCCAACCTGAGTCCTTTCTACTTTTATAAGTGGCAGAATATTCCACACAGCTGCATCAGCATTAGCCCCAAGCCGTCTACCCAGCTTCACTGTGGAAGTACAGCCCCAGCTCTTCCTAGCACCCTGTTTACCCAGGGGCTGGTTATCTTTCCCACCCTATCAGCAGCCTCAAGACATTTTCACCTTGGGCCTTCTGGGTTTCTAGTTTCCTCAGCTGCTAGTCCACTGAGAGCTGTTTAATATCTCGTTAGCACCTCTTTGCATCTCAGTGTGAATCCGCTAATGTCTTAAATTCTCTCAGTACAGGTCCCTCCTCCCAACCAGCCCAGCTCCGAGAGGCTCCGAGTCTGGGCGCTGGGAGGCAACAAAGGGCCTGGGAAAGGGGCGAGCCTGTGTCTGCCTCGCTGCTTCCGAGGCCCATCACTCGGGGCTGCTGCTGGTCTCTAAAACAGGGCCAACCCTTATTCCTGACCTACAGCTTGAAGTCCTCCACAGAGGGCAAGAAGTTAGTGAACCGCAGCCGACTGTCTACACCGTTCCAACACTGGAGGACGAGGCTAGGCAATGCGCCTGTAGGGCAAGAGGCAACCTGCCAGCAGGGGGTACACTTCCTCTCTGAGTCCCCCGTGCCCTGGGCAGTTCTAAAGGAAGCCGTAAAATGAATCACCCCTTTTCTGTGGCTTATTTTTTCTAACATTTTATTCTGACAATTTTCAAACAACAAAATGGAAAGAATTTGACAGTGAACACCCTATTACCCAGCACCTAGAGTCTACCGGGTTCTACCACGGGTGGTTTTTAACATTTAAAATATGGAGATATACTTCACACAACATAAGCTTCACTTCAAAGTGAATTTGAAAGCGTACACGTAAGTGGTTTTTAGTATATTCACTATGGTGTGAGAACTTCACCGCTATCTAATTCTGAAACTGGTAAACAATTAGCCATGGTTGATTAGGTAGCTAGTAACTAAAGTGTTTTTCTTTTTTGCAATTACTGATTATAGCTTTTACTTGTTCATTCACCCATTGTGCTGCTTAGGCAATATACTAACCAACTCCCACTAGGTTCCTATAGATAACATCTCACTGGCGCCTGGGTCACCATGGTAAGGGATGTTTGAGCTGTTTTTCAGGAATTAGGACCCCTTGTCCAGTCCAGGCAAGTTGAGACCACCAAGCCATCAACTGGGCCCATGCAGATGCCCCATAAGTGACCTTTTGACATCAAGAGGCTAAATTCTCCACCCTCAGATCATGCTAATGTGGCCATTTTGTGAACGTGTGTCCTATGAAGAAGCATGAAGTTTGATTACACTTGCACAGATCATCAATTACCTCACCTCTCCTCACCTCCAGTCATCTATCTCCACACTTCACACCACCTTGCCTCCCTACCCCATAGGTATCCCTGAGCCCCCATTTTCTAGGAGGCAGATTTGAGACTCTTGTTCTCCTGCTTCCTCGCTTGACTGCCTTGTGATTAAACCCTCTCTCTGCTGCAATCTCATCGTCTCAGAGATTGGCTTTCTGGGGACGTCAGAAATGAACCTGGTTCAGTAACAATTCCAGAACATTTCCATCAGCCCAAAAGAAACTCCCTACCCATTAGCACTTAGTCTTAATTCCCCTCTTCTCCTATCTTCTAGCAACCACTAATTTACTTTCTGTCTCTATAGATTTGTCTATTCTGGACCTTTCATATAAATGGAATCATACAATACGTGGCCTCTCGTGTCTGGTTTCTTTCGTTTAGCATGATGTCTTCAAGGTTCATCCATGTTGTAGCATGTGTCAGTTCTTCATTCCTTTCTATGGTGAATAATATTCCATTGTATGACCAGACTGCATTGTTTTCTTCCATTCATCAACTGGCAGACAGTTGAGTTGTTCCACTTTTTGGCTGTTATGAATAACACCGCTATGAACATTTGTGTACAAATTTTTGTGTGAACATGTGTTTTCAATTCTCTCAGGTATATACCTAGGTATGGGATTGCTAGGTCATACAGTAACAATAGTATCTTACTATACATGCTTTATCATATATCTACTTGTCTTAATCATCCTTCTATTAATATATTATCCATCTCACATTTTTGTGTACTTGAAAATAAATTGCAAACATCAGTATGAAGCCAGGTACCTGAGGGTTACTGAAAATATTCAATAAGACCTTTTGACCTGGGTCCCCACACACACATAGATTAAAAGAAGTTAATCTTGTCAATTTGCTGTTTTCTTGTTTAACTTTAGAGATGACTCAAGGGTCACAAGGATTTATGAGCTTGTTTTACAGAAGAAAGAGAATGCCTTCAAGAAACTTACATCACCAGATAACCAGCCTCCAGCTACACCTTGATGCCCAGAAGTCAGAATGCCCAAGGGCTTATCTGGAGGGAAAGAAACAAGATTACCCCTTTGTTTCTCTGAAACTCCTCCTGCCAAGCCTCTTAGCTCTATAAAATGCCTGCTTTCTTCTCTTATTAAGGCAGATTTAGAGCCAGCCCTGATGCCCCAGTGGTTAAACTTTAGCATGCTCCACTTTGGTGTCCTGGGTTCAGTTCCTGGGTGCGGAACCACACCATTGGTCTTTCAGTAGCCATGCTGTGTCAGCAGCTCACATAGGAGAACTAGAAGGACTTACAACTAGAATATACAACTATGTCCTGGGGCTTTGGGGAGAAAAAAACAAAAGAAGGCAGATTTGAGAGAACCTATCCTCCCAGCTTCTCATTTTGGCCAATTTGATTAAACCTTTCTCCAACTCTAAACACTGATGTCTCAATGATTGGCTTACTGTACGCTGGGCACATGAATTTGAGATTAAGAGATTTGGTATCAAGTACAGTTCATTCCTAAATTCATAGCATGTCTCTTAACCAGAATTCAATATTTGTTTATAGTTTTTTCTTTTCATGTAAAACTTACATACAATGAAATCTAAGTGTACAACTGAATGAGGTTTTTTGAGTGTGTGAGGAAGATTAGCCCTGAGCTAACATCTGTGCCCATCTTCCTCTAATTTACATGTGGGACACCTGCCACAGCATGGCCTGATGAGCAGTGCATAGGTCTGCACCCACGATCTGAACCAGCAAACCCCGGGCTGCTGAAGCAGAGCACTCAAACTTAACCGCTACACCACCAGGCTAACCCCAATTCAATGAGTTTTAATATGTGCACACACCTAAGAAATGCAAATGAAGATATCAAGATAAAGAACAGTACCACCACCTCCTAAAGTTCCTTCAAGCCTCTTCTAAGTCAGCCCTTACCCTCATCCCACTCCACTCTCTCCAAAGGCAATCAGTCTTCTGATTTTTTTCCCCACATAAATTGATTTTGCCTGTTCTGGAACTTCATATAAGCAGAATCATATGGTAGGTGCTCTTTTCCGTCTGGCTTCTCTGACTTGACATTCTGTTTTTGAGATTCATCCATGTTACTGCATGTGGCAATACTCCAGTCCTTTTTGTTGTTGAAGAGTATGCTGTCGTCATCATCATATGAATATGCCATAGCTTATCCATTCACCTGTTGATAAACACTTGAACTGTTTCCAGTTTACAGCTTTTATGACAAAGCTGCTATGATCATCTGCTAAAGGCCTTGAGGTAGACCTCTGCTTTTATTTCTCTTGGGTAAATATCTAGGATTGGAACTGTATTATAGAATGGGTGTATGTTTAGTTTTGTAAGGAATTGCCAGAACTTTCCCCAAAGTGGTTGTACCATTTTTCATGCTCACAATGATGTATGAGACTTACAAATTTTGAGCCAAAGAATAAAAACACAAATTGCAAAGTTCTACTAATTATTTTCATCTTAAATTTTTAAATAATTAGGTTGAGAATATTCTAGCTCATAAATGGCTGCCTTGATCATACTCTCAAATGAACAATGATTTAAAACAAGGGGATGCCTTAAATTTACACAATGTTATATGCCAAACATGTTTCAACTGAGAAATAAATAAATAAAATGAGGGGATGACCTTTTCATGATAAAAAACACTCAACAAACCAGGAATAGATGGGTACATCCTCAACCTGATAAAGGTCATCTACGAAAACCCACAGCCAACACCATACTCAATGGTGAATGAATGAATGCTTTCCCCTAAGATCAGGAACAAGGCAAGGATGTCTGCTCTCACCACTTCTATTCAATACTGTTCTAGACGTTCTAGCCAGGGCAATCAGGCAAGAAAAATAAAAGACATCCAGATCAGAATGGAAAAAGTAAAACTATCTCTATTTGTAGATGATGTTATCTTATATATGTAGAAAATTCTAAGGAATCCACTAAAATGAGGTGATGAATTTTATGACACACTGTAGAAGTCCCATTTCCAACATTTAAAAACTCATTTGCTTTCTTTAAACTGCCTCTTCTTTATTCTCATATTCTTCCCTCCACACTTGACAAAAATAAGCCCAATTCTTTTTTTTAACAAGTTCCCACCTGTTCCCTCCATCCCATCCCTCCCTAAAGGTTTGCTCCAGTAATTATCATCCTTGGAACTGCCCACCAAGCGCCTGTTCCCACTTATCTGGATACCAGGCTCCAGTCTCTTCCTCCTGCACTCCCTTGCCAATCCAGCTGCTCTCCTGTTCGGTATTTTAAAGTAGCTCCCTGCCGCCTGGCTTCTGTGTTTGTGTGCGCTTTGTGGCTAATTTTTAAAACAGCTTTTTGGACGTATAAGTCACATATAAAACTCACTCATTTTAAGTGGACATTCAACGATTTTTATTAAATTTACTGAGTTGTCCAACCACCACCGTAACGGGGGTTTTGAATATTTCCATCACTCTGATAATATCCCTCCCCTGGTTGGCTTGTAAAGGCTGGTCCACCAAGTCTACCTACAAACATAGTGTTTGGAAGTCAGGGCTGAATAAAGGTCTAAAACCTCGAGGCAACAAGACAGTAAAGGATCATTTTTCTGCTCCTCCTTTTAAAAAATGAAGTCATGGTTAATCATTAAGCCAACCCTGATATTTTGAAGGGTTAAAGCTGACCCATATCTCCATTTCTATCCATCGGCTCACTATTTCCCTCTCCTGCTACCCCCTCAGAGAGGACACTCCCTTACTGGGCTGAGACATTCTTCTTAAAAGAACTTTCTAGCGCACAGCCCCTCCCAAGACTAGCGACCTCCTCTTGTCCAGTAATGCCATCCCCAATTCAGGCCCCCACATACCCATGCTCCTGAGGAAGAAACCTTAATCTGTGGCCTCTCTGCCAATTCCAGCTCCGCCACCCCCATCACACCACAGAGGCCCCTTCTTCCTTTCCATCCCTGGCAGCATCGTTTCTCTAAGCTCCAGAAAAAAACCTAACCTGACTCTTTCTCCTCTCCATCCTCGCCTCAGCCACCTGGTCATCACTTCCCGGACGCTGGCACCAGGACCTTAGCGCCAATGCCAAAATCATACCAGCAGAAGAGCCTAGAGAAGGGGAGCCTGTGGGTGTGTGGGTGTAAGTGTGTGTGCTCGTGTGTGGAAGAAACCAACAGAGTCCACGCCGGTGTTCATCTTCTGAAAATGCCAATCACGCCCGGCTAAGAGAGCGAGGATCAGCTCCCCAGTGCGCCCCCGGAGAGAGCATTCAGGGCCGCGGAGCTTAGAGGGAGCAACGCTTCAACCTGGACCCCGGCCCAGCTGGCACCCCTCCCCGCAACCGCAGAGCTCACCCCCACCCCGGCGCGGTGGTCGGGCCCGGCGGCGACGTCACCCATTGTTTACAAATCAACCGGAGCCGGTAGGATTCCGGCTCCCGCGGCTGCAGGCGCGCGGCGCGAGTGCCCGGCGGGTTGCGGCTTCCGCGTCCGCCCCGGCCCGGCCCCGGCTCTCGCACCGCGCCCGGCTCCGCTGCGGCCCACCGAGCCCCGCACGCAGCCGAGCCGCCAGCAACGCCCGCAGAGCTCCGGGTGCCCGGGCGGGGGACCATGCCGTGCCGGAGGGAGGAGGAAGAGGAAGCGGAGGGGGAGGAGGAGGAGGAGGACGACGACGACAGCCTCCTCCTGCTGGAGCAGTCGGTGACGCTGGGCGGCTCGGGCGAGGTGGACCGGCTGGTGGCCCAGATCGGCGAGACGCTGCAGCTGGACGCGGCGCAGGACAGCCCGGCCTCCCCGTGCGCGCCCCCGGGGCCGCCGCTGCAGCCCCCGCGGCCCCCGGCGGCGGTGCGGGCGGACAAGGCCCGGTCCCCGGGGCTGCCGCTGCTTCTGTCGCCGGCGCCGGCCGAGGCGGGGGTCCCGGCGCCCCCGGGGGCCCTGCGCTGCGCCCTCGGGGATCGCGGTCGCGTGCGGGGCAGGGCTGCGCCCTACTTTGTGGCCGAGCTCGCCGCAGGTCCCTCCGCGCTGTCCCCACTACCCCCTCAGCCTGGCCTCGGTGGGCCTTCGGGAGGCGACAAGCAGGGCGCCCCGCAGCCGCTCTCGGGCCCGTGCCGGCGAGGATGGATGCGGGGCTCCGCCGCCTCCCGCCGCCTGCAGCAGCGACGCGGGCCTCAGCCCGAAGCCCACACCGGCGACGACGACCCGCACCGGCTCCTGCAGCAGCTCGTGCTCTCGGGGAACCTCATCAAGGAGGCTGTACGGAGGCTTCATTCGCGACGGCTGCAGTTACGCGCAAAGCTTCCCCAACGCCAGCTCCTGGAGCCTCTGTCGGCCCCAGTCTATGAGCCGCCTTCGCCCCGCAGCCCTCGCGCGGCCTGCAGCGACCCTGGCGCGTCCGGCAGGAGGGCACAGCTCAGAACTGGCGACAGTGTTCTTGTCCCTGGTAGCTAACGCCACGGGAGTGGCCACAGCGCCAGCCTCTGCCTGGAGGGCAAGGGGTTCCCCTGAGGGCTCTATCCCTACTCAGACTGGTGAAGTCGTGATTTGGAAGCGAGAAAATAAGCTTATGAAGACCAGGAATCGAAAAATCTAGAACATTTTTGCGGGGAACTGAGGTCGAGGGTCCCGATGTGTTGGAAAAACAGGACTTGGGTGGCCCCACTTAAGGCACATGAGAGAGCGCACCCCAAGCTCACAGTCAGTAGGACTTCTTATTTGGCGTGATCAGTCCTGGCGGCGCAGCGTGCAGTTCCACGCAGCCTCTCAGGGCCCTCCAGCCCGGCGACCATGTGGCCACAGTCTGCGCCTCTCAGGATCGCCGAGCGTCTGAAGGACGAGGATGATCCCGGTTACTTGCTTTACCTTTTCAGGGCTGGTTCCTCATCCACATTGAGGGAGAACATGAGTAGACGATCATTTCAGGGAGTACCTCAAACTATAGACTTGAAAATTTACGACACTCAGAAAAACCCAGCTCGTGTCCTTTGGGGTGCTGGTTCTTAATATAAAACATGCAGTACCATGAAGGGACCTTTTTGGGAGTTGAATAGGAGTAACCTTTTCTCTGTCCCCGCTCTGCAACTGGCTGCAGTTCTCAGAGTGGCAGGGGAAAGCGGTGCGCCCCGGATGCTGATGCGAGCCGGGGGCGGGCGGTGCTGGGAAAAGTAGGGTAAGGCGCCAAGTGAAGCCTCTGTCCTCTCTAAAGTATTTTCACAGCCAGCTGTCCCTCCTCGGGTTCAAGGTCATTGTTTCCTGGGCGCACACGGGATTGCGGGGCTCCAGCAGGGTAGAAGAGTTGCCCGGTTGTGCCTCTACTCGGAGAAGAGCGCGGTGTTTTGCAGGGCTGGAGTCTCCTGAGGACACGCGCACCGCCACCACCGCGGGTGTAGAGAAGGCGGGGACGTGCCGGGCGCCGGTGCCTCCAGCGGGCGGCCGCACCCCGGGCTTTCATGGAAGCTGTCCTGAGACCTGGCCTCGGATCCCCCCCCTCTCCCCCTCGGCCCTGCTGCTCTACTCAAGCGGGTGGCGCTGGCGCTCCTGGGGCCCCAACCTGGGGGCTGGGGAGACGCCACGTGACTGGCACTCCAGGGAGGCACAGCCTCGCACAGCAGCTTATAATGGGCTCTCCAGGGCCGTTTGCAATAACAGCTGCAATTCCCTGGATAGACGGAGTTGGTTTCCTCCCTTTGCCCCACCCCCAGCCATGCCAGCTCGCCTTTGTAAGTGAAGGAAACCGCGTAGAAAACGTGACCGTCCAAATGGAGAAGCTGCAGGCTTTGCCATTGTGAACGGTGGTGAAGTGCTTGTAACATACTGTTCACACCCTCTGAGGGATCTAAGGCCGTTTTGTTGGTGTTTTGGTTTTATAAGATTCAATGGCTTGTTCATCCAGTTGCGGCTATTGACATATCTACACTTCGCACCGGAGTGTCTGGAATTGTGGCTGTCCTGATTATAGGATTTTAACTTAACTGAAATATCTGTTTTTAATAAATGTGTTGGGTTTGGGGTTTGGTTTTATTTTATACTTGCCGTCGGTGGGAAAGATGCACAGAACACATTTCTCTGATCTCCATAAACATGAAAACACTTGAAATCCTTGTCAGCCCGGCTTGTGGATGGTAATTAGAGCGCCTTTGTGTCTGAGCAGCTCACTAGTTAGACAGGGTCTTCGCGGCTGGGTGTGTATTGGTGCTGGCATGAAATTAAATGAAAGTGAAGTCAGATTTTGGACCAGTCCCATTCTCTAAAACCTCAGAGCCTTTTGGATTACTAGTCGGTGATGGAGATGTTTTATGAAGCTGCCTCTGTTTTAGCAAAGGCTATCAGAGCAGTCAGTCACTACAGACCAGGAGGCTTGCCACTATTTCTTTCTTTCTTTCTACTGTGGTCATTAAGCGGACTTGTTCCACAAGGTGGCCCTTTAGGCTAGGGCAGCTCTTGGTTAGGGGCTGCTTAGGATGCAAAACTGCAGTAGGAAAGCTGGCTGGGAGTGTATAAAGGACTGCTCTCTCTGCCCTTGGCATGTCTGCTGCCATTCTCTCTCCAAGCAGTGACGTAACAGTGCATCTCTATCCCTCCTGTTCTGAGTTCTCTCAGTCTGTGGCCTCCAGGAAAGAGCCACGCTGGGCGACAGGGTATCCAGGGTTCAAGTCCAGTTATTAAATGGGGACCTTGGACAGGTTGCTCAACCTCTATGTCCTTCGGTTTCCCCATCTGTACCACAGATGAGAAGTCAGATGATGAAAGGAAGGGTTCATGGTGACTGGCACGTACTGGAGATGAACAGTCCCTAGTCCCTGCCCCTTCCTTCCCTGGATCATCGGTCCCTTAGTAGCCAAGCGGCAGGGTCCTCAATTTCTCATGAAACAAGGGCATGCCACGATCCCAGAAATGCTTTCTGGATTGAGTGCTATGGGATTTAGAGTCCTGATTTTCTAACTCCCTTTTCGACTCAGTGTCTGTTGTCTATACCTCCCGGTTCTCTCAAATACACACACAGACCTTGATGGTCTCTGAAAAGTACTCCCAGAACACACCAAACCAGCCATTTCCCACAAGCTGCTGAGAGAGGGTTGTGGCAGGCTCAGTCCAGTGCCACCCAGCAAGGGAAGGGGGATTACGGAGGCTCTAACACAAACTGAGGAAGGGGAGCCTCCAACAGTGCAGTAGGCTACCAACTCTGGGCGCTGAGCAGGAGGAAAGTGGTCAGGTGCTGACTTCCCCATCATTGGAGTAGCGCTGAGGTCCTCAGCCCCGCGTCTTAGTAGAGGTGGGATTTCCTGGAGATCAAAAGGTTAGGAGTAAGCCAGGGCCAAATTGACCATGATTCAATGCCACCAACTGTGCTGGCTTCTTGTAATGATTGGTTAAGCCTAGAGCCAACCATAGGGCTCAGGCAGGACAACCCCCCTCTTTAAAAAAAGGAAGATGGAGAAAACTAATGCCCACCATCAGGCACTTTAAATGCACTACAACCCTATAATTGCCCCTCTTTTTAAAAATCCTGCAAGGTCTTACTAGTCACCCCAAAATCCTTTTCTGGAATGTCAAGGTTTACATAAATGAATTTTTTAAGATTATTAGACCATTTTATAGGTGCAAAAATAGTCCAGGAATGGGGCAAGGCAGAGTGACCTACCAAAGTCATTTATGAAGTCAAAGGCTTAACAGAGTTGAGAACCCAGGTCTCTGGGCTCCTAGTTCAGGCCTCTTTCCAGTCGCCTGATAGCATCATACGTAGTCCAACCTCACACGTGTGCTACAATGTGAACAATAGCCCTGCAGCTGTCCAGCGGGGGGAAATCGTGCCCCAGCTCCCTAGGCTGAGCCAGGGAAAGCCAGGGATGCTGTAACCATCTTCTTAGAAAATGTTCAGCATCCTGTGAAGACAGCTGGCCACAGCAAATGGTCTGGGTGAGATAAAAGACCAAAGCTATAAGCTCAATGAAAAAAATATAAACTAAAACACAGGAATTGGCAAATAATGAGTGATTTGGAGAAAAGAAAGCCACACCTCACAGAGAACTCCAGTCTGCCACCCCAAGATTTCATTCGAAATTAGGCATTAATGCTACTCTATTTGGATCCAATTTTTACCCTTTTTTTGCTCTTTCCTTTTCCAGCTCAGAAGCAGAAACATGGAGCGAAGATCAGACACCACTTTCCTATCCAGCAAAGTCTGTGTCCAACCTTGTGATCCCTTCTTTCCAATCAGGAAAGAGTTACCTTGGCAACCAAATTACTAACTCACTCAATTAGCTCCCCGCTCTTCCACCAGTGCTCAGTAATCACAGAATGTCAGCCCGGGGAGAGCTCAGCCTTTGGAGGTCTAGTGCTATGCCTCGTTTAGACACGGAAGCCCAGAGAGGTTTCCCTCTGAGACGCACTCCATTTGAATGCCATGAAGGCTGGTGCAGGCAAAGGGGCAGAAACTCTCCCATGCTGCGCTTCCTCCTGGTTTCCATCCTCACCTGAAGTGACCTGGCCATAACGGTGTTTCCAAGGAGGCAGAGTAGATAAAGAGTGGGCTCTGCAGGCAGCCCGCCATTGCTAGCTGTGTGATTTGGGACAGTGTCCTCAACCTCAATAATCTCAATTAACTCATCTGCAAAATGGGGATTAGAGTAGAGCCAACCTTGAAGAATTTGGTGAAGATTAAAGTAGATCATGTATAGGAAGCAAATAATAAAACATCGCTCCTGGAAGCTATTGCATGAAGGCCACTACTTAAGTCTTTTGTGGAAATTCTTACCTCTTAATGACTTTTATCTATTTCTTTTTTCTTTTAAAGATTTTATTTTTCCTTTTTCTCCTCAAAGACCCCCAGTACATAGTTGTGTATTTTTAATTGTGAGTCCTTCTAGTTGTGGCATGTGGGATGCTGCCTCAGCATGGCTTGATGAGCGGTGCCATGTCCACGCCCAGGATTTGAACTGGCGAAACCCTGGGCCACCAAAGAGAAGCACGCAAACATAACCATTCGGCCACGGGGCCGGCCCTGACTTTTATCTATTTCTTAAAAGGCAAAAACCTGTTTCCTCTGAAGACAAGACTAGTGGGTCTAGTCTTCTAGCTGTGCCACCGGGCTGGCCCCCCTGTATTTTGCATATGGGACACCTCCACAGCATGGCCACCAATGAGTGGTGTAGGTCTGTGCTCAGGACCCAAACCCTGGCCACCAATGCAGAGCACACTAAACTTAACCACTAGGCCACGGGGCTGGCCCCAAGACTAGTTTCTTTTTTCTTTTCTTTTTGAGGAAGATTAGCCCTGAGCTAACATCTGCTGCCAATCCTCCTCTTTTTGCTGAGGAAGATTGGCCCTGAGCTAACATCCGTGCCCATCTTCCTCTACTGTATATGTGGGATGCCCACCACAGCATGGCTTGACAAGTGGTACGTAGGCCCACACCCAGGATCTGAACCGGTGAACCCTGGGCCGCCTAAACGAAATGTGAGAACTTAACTGCTATGCCATGAGGCCGGCCTCCAAGACTAGTTTCTTGATTATGTACTCCTGTTGTATAGGGAAGTGCAGAGGAAGGGAATAACCAATCTAGAAGAGGTTTACTCGCAAAAAGGTGGAGGTCCCTTTCAAGCCAAACGTTGAAAGCAGCTCAGGATTGGGGCTGGTAGAGAAGGGGCAGCAGGCAATGTGACAAAGTAGAGGGTTTGTGGGGAGAACAGCCTGGGGCCACAGCTCTTAACTCCCCCATTCCTATCAGAAAACCCCTCTCCTTCTAATTCAAATTCAGCGTTCGGCTGAAGTTCTGCTTCCCGTCCTGTCCTCTCCCGTCTATAATTTGTCCTGACAAAAGCGTGCAATTTCTTCACAGGAAGTGATCTTGGAGTGCATTTTGTTTTCACTCTTCATTTTATTTACTGTCATTACAGGGTTATCGCAGGGGCTCATATGTGAATGTCTTCTTTTCCCAAGGAGATTATTCTCTGATGACAGAGGAGTGACAAGATGAAGAGGATGTTTTAGGCAGATTATCAGGCAACATGGCATGGGGGATGGACTGAGGTTGAGGGGGAACCTTATGGTCAGCCAGATCGGTTGGACGGCTGTTACAGCATCCAGGCACCAGGTGATAAGGGCCTGGGCGGGAAGAGAGAGGAAAAGGCAAGAGGGGACGCGTTTCGAAAAGAAAATCCATAAGCCTCAGTACAGTGTCAGGTAGCGGTTAAAACGCTGGCTATGGAGCCAGACTGCCCGGGTCGCCATCCTGGCCCTTTCTTTAAAGCTCCTCCCTGGGACCTTGGGCAGGTCACTTCACCTCTCTAACTTCACGTTCTTCATCTGCGGAGTCCGGTGATAATCAAGTCCGTGCTTCATAGGGTTGTAAGGATTCGTTGAGCTAATGCTAGCAAAAATGCTCAGGCCACTGCCTGAAACAGAGCTGCATTTAGTAACAACTCCTGGGTATCGGCATTTAGTAAATATTTGCAGAGCAAACACATGGGGCAATTTCAACAGACTTGTGGAGGCTAAGAGAGTGCTTGGGGCATAGATGATGAATCGTGGCGCCTAGAAGTTTGAAGAAGAAGAGAAAGGAGGGACAGCACCTAGAAAGGGAAAACGGGGCCAAGGGAAGGATGTCCTCAACCAGGAGAGACCTACGCTGATCCAACTGTGGAGGGAGGACACGCAAAGGGAGAGACTGAAGGACAAGGCTCCTTGAGGAGGCGGGAAGCGATGGGGTGTCCAGTCTGGACAGGTTTGGAGAGCAGGCTTCAGGGCGGATTGTAGGGGTGGGTGTCCCGTGTGCCAGCGCCCTAAGTTACAAACTGTCCTTCCTCAGCAAGGCCAGAGACCCGAAGGCTGGCTGTTGAAACAACCTTGTATAACCCTTCATGCCTCGGATGGCTGGGTATGGTTCTCTTGTTTTCGTGCGAATGAATACTTCTTCTCTGTACCTTATGCTATGATAGACTGAAAACTAAATCTGATACCAGGCAGTTTATTTACTGCACCCCCTTATTAACTGACTCATAGGAGGTAAAAC